ATATTGAGTATCAAACCATCACTGTGAACTGCTCATGCCCCCCAGATGACTACAAGTTCTATGAACTCAAAATCGCAAATTCTTTTGAGGTGCCAGCTTGCTTTCAAAAGCATCTCGGTCGTATTCTTTTGTTTCGAGAGCCAGTAGCCAACTTCACTGCACGTCAGTACCAGAAGTTTGGTATTGCTAAGTCCGATAATCCCGGAGCAAAGAAGACTGTTGTCAATGCCCTGAAGGCAGAGGCAGTGAATGCTGAGAGAGACTTGGACCTATTTTTCAATTACTCGATCATCGTGTTTTCAATGGAACAACCAGTGTTCGCGAATAGAATCTTCTCCCCCAAGTCGGACTTTATTGTTGACAGCGAGAAGAGTGGCATCCATAACAAGCCTGAAGATAACACCAGTTTCAAGAAAGACCAGTATGGCCTCACTCTTTCCTGGAAGATTGCTTTGGCTGGGGAATTCCGAGAGTTGAAGAGCAGTGTAGAGGAGCCTGACGCAGATTCATTCTTCACCATGACCAATTAGTAGAACAAGAAGAAGGGACAAACTGTTGTGTGTATAGTGTATTAAAAAGAGAACTATTATAATAACAACCATATTTATCTATCCATGTGAGAGGTATCGTTTCGTGTTTTTCGTCATTTATTTTTTTGATAGGTATGGACGATGATTTTCCCAGTGGAGGACAACGGTGTATAGTGGACGATTCAGTCAGACGATGTGGTGGACGGTGTTGAGTTACGAAGTTCAATTTTATTACTTTGCTATAGCTTGTTCCTCCTTCTCTTGCTCCTTCTTCTTTTTATCCTCTTGCTTCTTCAATTCCTTTTCCCTTTGCTGCTGCTTCTTTTTTTCGGCTTTCTCCTTCTTTTCCTCTTCCTTCTTCAATTCCATTTCCCTCTGCTTCTGCTTCCTTTTTTCCTCTTTCTCTTTCTTTTCCTGGTCTTTCCTACGAGCTTCCTTTAGCTTCTTTTCTCGCTTGTCTGCCAGATATGCCACAAACTTCTGGTACCTCACCTCCTGATAAATTCGTTCCTTGAATTTTCTTGCTTTGAATGGATGATACGCCTTTCGTGAGCTTTGAAATTGTTTGGGGGTGATTCCCTTGTGCAGTCCTCTCGCAACGTCTTCCCTAAGAAGTTTCTTTGCATCTGTCATGCAAAATCTTAGCTCACCGCGGTCGTTGTGCGTCTTAACATGAAAAAGACTCAAATCATGCGCCAGTGTCAGTTCGTCTTTGCACGATTGTACAACTGATTGTTGTTGTGATTCACGATGATCCTTTAGCTTCTCTTCGAATTGCCAGTAAGGGACTTCTTGGAATTCGGGCAGGTCTTTGTAGGTCGCGTTCCATGCATCCCGTGCGGGCAAGCGATCTTCGTCGATATCGAGAACCCCATCTGCAAGATCATAGATAATGATCAATCGGGCAGCGCTTGGCTTCCAATCAATTGCCTCTTTCTTCTTTGCTTCTTTTCGCAAAACTGCCAACTGCCTACTGAAGAAGCTCAGATTCATGCCAGCGAATTCTCCGTGAAGACTGTAGGTCTCTTCCCAAGCGTCCTTAGCCGACATTTCCTTGGCAGCGATCGGCAGGAATCCTGAGTCAAGATCGTCTTGAAGGATCCTTTTTGCCTCGCTTTGATCCCAATTTTTCTGCCATTCAGCTAACTTCTTCTCTTTCCACGCCTTCCGCACGGCTTGCAATTTTTCGGTAAAGAAGCCGAACTCCATAAACTCAAACTCTACTTCACCAATGTACCTTTCGTCCCATGCCGCCCTAGCAGACATGGACGCAGCATCAACGGGGAGCATTTCGTTGTCCAGATCGTCTTCAAGAAGCGCTTTAGCTTCGCTTGTTTCCCACTGCGCCACCCATTCAGCTTTCTTTATATCTTTCCATTTTTTGCGAAGGGCAGTCAATTGTTTGCGAAAGAAACTGAAAGCCATGCCATCAAATTCCTCGTGAGAATCATAGAGCTGGTCCCAAGTATCCTTAACGGACATCCTCCTGGGATCGATGGGACAGTATCCCAACGTTAGATCGCTTTCAAGAGCACGCTTCGCTTCACTCCGTTCCCATTTTTCCTCAGTCCAAGCCATCGTGTCCAGATTTCGTTTTTTTAATTTTTAATTTTTTAAGAAAAACTGCGATGGTGCACTCTCGCCAGTTTATGTTAATCCTTCATTGATTGATAAATGCATTTCATACCAATTTAAATAAAATACCTGAAACGTTAATCTACTTTTAAATAAAAGTGATTGACGTGATTTCGATTTGCGTTCAACTTGCTCAAAGAAAGTTGGGAATGGTGGGAATGGATAGCACCATCTACAAAGTGTCGTTTTGACAATCAAACGGAACGATGAACGATACAAGATCCATTGACACGGATGCACAGTTCGTGATTGTAACTGGTAAATTAGATGCGCCTTCTCATAATCAAGAGATTAAAAACAACAACAAAACCTCAACATCATCATGACAAATCACAGCAACAGCAACAACAGTATGGATCTTGGTACCGAGAAGAGGGGCGCTGAGATTGCTATCAACAAAGGAAAGTATAAGGGGAAATTCGGCTGGGTGGACCTATCCCGCGGAGAGAATGGCTTTTCTTCTACACGCAAAAGTGTCTACGTCATTTATTGCGAGGACGGCACCACAGTTGCAGCACCCAACCAAATTCGCGCCAAGAGTATCGATTACCAGAACTGGCATTCCAAGGCAACAGTGGGCTCCAATTTCTTAGTTCGTAACCCAAAAGTTGGCCAGAAAGTCTCTGAGCTCTGCGACTTGATGCGAGCAGTCAACTATGCCAGTAACGAGGACAAGGCAGAGATGATGGGATATGTCCTCCAAGTCATCGATGCAAAGATGCGAGCTCCAAAATCAGCGTAGAATCAATCTGCGATAAATTGTCGATCGATTCATTCATCCTGTTGATCGTGTAACAGGATCATACATAACATGACAATAACTCTATGTCCTATTTTCAGTTTTACCAGCCGCAATTTTTGCGATCTGTTGCTTGTCTAGTATTGAAAGTACAAATGCTTCCTACGGGTTACACTTCAAGACTTCAATTCAATCGTTTCTACTATGGTATTTATTGAATACTTATTCTCTTTGCATTGGAGCTTCAAAGATGGGAGCGCCATTGTTCATTTGGTACTGCACCGTTACTGCAACAGCTCTAAAAACATTTCCATGATGCTTTTGATCATGTCTGTAGGTTGCGTCAAGAATCATATACTTTTTCAACCTACCATTGAAGCTTTCGTGTCGAAGTCTAGCTCTTCCCTTGTATTCATTGAGCGTCACAGAATCGGTTTCTCTTGGGATACAAAGGATGTATTTTTCGTCTTCTTCGCTAGTTGTATAACCCCTATCCACAATTGCCTGTTTCCACCGCTTCAGCTTTTGCTTCAGACCTCCTTCTCGAAAGATCGTAAGATCATGTTTCCCTCCCTTATGCGGCCCACTGATCCAGGCACACTGCGGCTCAAGAAGGGACATCGCGACCTCATATTTCACAGCCCCATGATTGAACTTGTGTGAACACTCTTGTGTGTCCATATTGTAGCGCTCGTTCGATTTCTCCCATGTTCGGCAGTCGACTCCATCAATGCTTATCACAAGTGTTTGGGTTAAGGTGGAATCGAGGTTCTTCTTCCACACTATAAGCTTTTCATGCAAAGCTGCGATCTTATTCACCCAATGAAAAACAGGGTCTCCACGAGACAAACGTTCACAAACTCCAAATCGCGATCCAAAGGTTCGAGCGTTCTTTGGGTACTGCCACATAAAAAAGTGGGCCATCATAAATCGCTTGAAACCTTCAGCAGTCTTCTCCTTTGCTGTGAGCTTCGCTTCTTCAATGTCGGTGTGACAAAGATCGAACCATTGGTTTGTGATGACAAGCGAAGAACTTCCATAGTGAGCTGTGAACATCTCTTCTTGCCATTTGGCTGGCTGTCCCTCTGGATGAACACCTGCGAGAAACCCCAATGCAGTTTCTCTTGCCACCTCTGGTGACAAGAGGAAGGTGTTTGAGAGAGAAGAAAACTTCATTTTGTCGTTTGTGTCGTTGATGATTACCGGTATTATTTGTTTTGAGCGAGCCTGTTTCGCCAAGGCAGGATGGTTTCGCCAAAGTCCCAGCTGTGAAAAAATGCCCCCCAAGATCAGCCCCAAAAAAAATTACTCACTTTTGGTCGCTTCTCATCGTTTTGGTCGCTTCTCATCGCTTTGGGAAACGAGTAATTTCCATTCGGAACGAGTAATTTCCATTCGGAACGAGTAATTTCCATTCGGAACGAGTAATTTCCATTCGGAACGAGTAATTTCCATTTGGAACGATATTTTGCTCACTTCTGATCGCGTTGTGGTCGCTTCTCATCGCTTTGGTCGCTTCTCATCGTTTCTGTCTGAACCAATCATAATTGGTCATCATTAGCTTTTGCTCTTAAGTATGAGTTATTCTTCTTATCCCACGTGATCACATGGATTTCGAAAATGACTGTAGAAGGTCTGTCCGCTCTTCGAACAATGACAAAAATCATCGTTCTGCCGGGTGTTCCTGGTTTGTCGTGTTTCGAACTGGTTTGTCGTGTTTGTCGTGTTTCGATTCGACCCAAAAGTAGAACTTGGGGCCCCTAAATTTGACTGCAAAACATAATGGGGGAAGACTAGAGAAAAGTGCTTCCCCCCGTTTAAATTGGACGACAGACAGACGAGTTGCTGAGGGTCCAGAGTGGTGTGTAATGCCTACAGAATTGGCCGTAGCTAGCGGTATTATTGAAACTTCTGCCAGGCAATCGTGAAAATTGGCAAAAATATCCGTGTGCAATTTACCCAACGCGCTTCTTTTGTATGAAAAAGACCTGCGGTACCACGGGGCCAAGCAAGTACAGTTTCAAAGTTCCAGGTACCTGGTACCGGAAGCGGAACAGCATACATCTTGAATCCAAGCTCAAATAGGCGAGATGACCATGCCATCCAGCGATGTTTCAGAGCGAAGCAGTCGTAGATTCTTCTTCAAAGGCAGATCAAAAAAGAAAAAGAGCTCCAAAAAAGCCAATGCTTCCCCATTTCAGTTAATGCAGTCGCTGGGAACTGGAAGTATGTCTCCTGCTGGAGCGATCACTTTTGTTCCTAGTCCTACGAAGTTGATCAATTTCAAAATGAACTTTGATGCGCCACCAGTCAAAATACGGGGAAATCCAAAAATATTTTCGAGAAGCGACAGCTCCTTCATCAGGGTTTCTGACCTGGACATGGATTCCGAGCACACTTCTTGCTCGACAGTTCAGTCGGAAGATGCCCACCCAAATTTTCACCATCCAGCCATTGATCCTCCACCAGGCATTGAAACCGATGAAAAGGAGAAATGGATTGCTCTAAACGACGGAGACGGAGCATGGTCTCCCATTGCCCCACTCGCAGTCAGTCGGCTTGCTGCCTTGGGCCTTGCAACTTCAATTGACGACTGCATGTGGAATCCTGACAGAAATACCGATAAGTTGCTGAAGAAGTCGAATGAATCAGACTGGATGCAGAACACGTTCAAGCCATGCCAAGTTTCGGTGGAAGATCCTTCTCATAACCACGAGGTTCTTGTGTGGACGGGGACATTCAGTCATTCATACTACGGAAGTGATCTTCCAGCCATTCGAGTTGCGGGTGTCGTGGACATGTCACCGCAGAACCTTGTTGAGCTGCTAGTAGATAGCGGTAGAGTCAAGGAGTATAACAAGCTAAGCCTTGGCAGAGAAGACCTTGTTGTCTTCCAAAACGACATGCAAGAGAAAGGACCCTTCGGCTGTAGCGTTACAAAGGTTATGAAGTCGGTCTCGAAGCCACCAATGATAAGAACAAATATGGTTTTCGTTTCGGTTCTTCACGCAAGAGAATTAGAAGATGGCAGTGGGTTCCTCATTGTTACCCGGGCTGTTCACCATCCAGAAAACGAAATGGGGGGTTCTGCAAATGTCATCAAAAGCGAAATCCTAATGGGCGTAAATTTGATTCGCAAGATCAATGGTGCTGATAATCAATGTTTGATGATAAACGTGAATCATATCAGATCACCCATGGTTCCAATGATGATCGCTAAGAAACTCGGAGTATCTGCAGCAATTGGATTTGTCAACGATATCCGTGCTGCATGCTAAGTCCTACGCTGAATCGTCCCTGATGCACAGGGTTGTAGCGTAAAACTGAGACACCAATACATTGATTTTGTAAGACATTTAAAGCTGGAAGGTTCTTGTATGCTAGAGTAAAATATATCAAACAATGTAAACCGCAGAGGAAGGGTCTCACTGAGGCAGTGGGAATCCCCCCATTTCTCCCCGAGTTGCGAGATTTTCCTACATTTTTCCCACAACTCATTTTTTCCCACCACTCTATTTTGGTTCCCACAACTAGTTGTAGTTGTGGGAAATTCCCACAACTAGTTGTAGTTGTGGGAAATTCCTACAACTACGAATTGCAACGAAAACTCCTGCCCAAACGAACAGGTCCATATCAAGTACTTCGTGATTACGACAATGGCACAATCAAACTAGGACGTGGCTTCTATGCACAACGCGTGAGTCTCTGACGATGCGTTCCTTACTATACCCCAATCAACCTATACTTGCATCAACACTTGATTTCGCCATGGAAGCGAATGACGTACTCTCTACAGACCGTTGGTCATCTGGCCAGACTTCCAACGTACTTCCAGCAGACAACGAATCTTACGATCTTTTTAACAGACACTTTTGTTATACTCCTATCGGTTACTCAATATTCCAGGCCTAACTATTATTGGCCCTTCTAAGTACTCCGATCGTTACTAAATATTTCAGCACCGCTACTGAATATTTCAGGCCAAAAGAACATATTCTTTGGCCAAACCAAGACTAGATAGCTCACCTAAAAACCACTATTTTAATGCTCACAATTTCATTATCAACTGATATCAAATCCTCTTTGATCTAGGTTAAGTCATATAGTTGTGGGAATTTCCAACAACTATTTTTTCCGATTCCTACAACTAAATAGTTGTGGAAATTTTTGGCTCCCACAACTACTGTAGTTGTGGGAATCGCGTTAAATATCGCCGGGATGAAATAAAATGAAAAGGGGGAATTCCCACTGCCTCACTGTTTAGGAGTTGGTTTTGGAGCTCCTCTTTCCTTGCTATTGACAAATTAAAATGGATCAGTTTTGCATACAGAGGTTGATGGCTTCTATTTTTACTTCCATCTCAGAGTATTGTCAAAAGCTACCGAATACCTTAATTGTCATTTGAAAAGCTAATCTCGAGAGAATACAAAAAGTTATAATGGACTAACGAACACTGCGTTTATTTTTTCTTCTTTCCAAACCCAAAGAATCGTTTCTTCTTCTTCTTGTCGCTATCAGGTTCTCGCTCTTCCTCGGCATATTCATCGTCTTGTGGAGCATCTTCTTCCCCTTCGACTGGCTTCTTCTTCTTCTGTGAAAGAGAATGTGAGCAAACATGATGGGAGCGAAGACGAGAAGGCGAGTGTGTTAGTCCTTGGTCGTACCTTCTTCTTCTTCTTGGGTGCCTCCTCTCCACTGTCCTTGTCCTTCTTCTTCTTCTTCTTTTTCTTTCCGGATGTCTTCATTGAGCGTTCCTTGATGCCTCCACTTCCATCGACGGGCATTTTAAATGCATCATCAATGTGGATTTCTTCTTCACCTGCCTGGCAAAGATATGGCAAGTCCACTGCGGTTCCTGAATGACAACAATCAATCACGGCAACTACGTGAACCCCAGCCTGTACCTGAGTCACAAATAAGTGATATATCTCATCATTGAAAATGGGTCCACTATCTCTGTAGTCACCAGGTATCAAAACTTCATCAAAACTGTCTCCTCCATTTGATTCTCTGTCTACAACCTTGGATCCGTGACCTGAAGATAGGTGAGAATGTGCTTCTCTGAAACTATTAATTCGACGGTCTACGCACCTGAAAAATGAATAAAGATAATGTCCCCCGGCTGACTGACCTGTGCCAGCGTTCGGAACCCGTCCAAAATGAGTTGTTTCGTGGGGAAATGGTGGAGATCATCATCTTCCAGAATGAGCATATTTTGTCGCTCAAATCCTAGATAATCCATTAGATAATATTTCATGTTGCGGACGTCGTTATGGCATCCAGACAATTTGTTTTCCTCGTCGACATAATTGATGCCTACCAGCAGTGCTCGTTTGATGCCTTCACACTCTGGTGGTACAATGCAAAGCTCCTCGTTGACATCAATAGGTCTAGAAGATAACAACTGAGGCAGCTGCGTAAGTCCCATATCTTCAATCTTCTCCCTCATGATCTCTAGTGTCTGCAGCCATGTATAAGTAACATTCTCCTCTCCTTCATCCCGGTAAAGAGCCTGCAAAAGAGCTGAAGTGCAAGCGCCACCAGATTTTCCATCTGGATCAGGAAGATCAAATGCATCAATGTTGGGAATGTCAGCTGCAGTCTGGGAGTCATCTGCACCTGCGAACATATAGAACATGGCCGGAATGGCTGATTCAACATCCTCTTCGAACGATGACATTGCTGCTACAGTGTAGTCTACGATTGTAACTTGTGGCTTAATTAATCGATCTGAAAAGGCACTCAGAGAGGATCCTTCTGAAATGACTGCTTTGAGACCAATCATGTCACATCGGATGAGTCGGATTCCGAACACTTCGACTGTAAATACGTCATCTTATTTCAGGTCTCACACAACCATCAAATTTTTCTCTTTTTAATTCACAACAATGTTCAGGACTTTGAGGCTTTCTAAGTATTCCAAGCCTTGGCACTATAACCAATCGATACAAAATAATGAGGCGGTATCATGGGTGGTTTACGGAAGGTCCAGGTTGAACTATTCGATTCGGAGTCGTTCAATCGTTCACCACTTTCCGCACAGCGAAAAAAACACAAGGCAAAGCACGGGAAACAGAATGCTGTCGCTAGGCACAATTCGCTTTCTGTCTACAGATGTATTCGATGATGCCCCAGGAGAACTGGTACACGAATTCAGGAGAGAGGGTGTCAGGTAATGCTGTCTACGGTTTTGTAAAGTTTTAAACGTATTGTGGTTCTTACCTCCAGCTCCTTTGCCCGAACAAAGGAACGTCGCAATCGTAGCACATGTTGGTGAGTACGGGAAAATCAATCGCAGAACTTTATAATAAGCACTGGACATAGAAAAGCTGAGCTGGACGTTGAGCTGATGTGCTTTCGTTGGACTCAAAGACTTATCCCTTCCTATTTTCACAACCGTAGATCACGGTAAAACCACTTTGGTAGATACGCTATTACGGTCGTCCAATGGCGAAACCAATGATGAGAGGCTGTTAGACAGTGGAGAGCTGGAAAGAGAACGAGGAATTACGATTAGGCAGGTACTATACACGCTTTGAATGGAACATTTGCATGTTCGAGGGTATCTAACAGATTTTTATTCCAGTTCCAAGGTCACAAGGTGTGACTACAAGAATACCACAATAAACATCGTTGACACTCCAGGTCATGCTGATTTTGCTGGGGAAGTCGATCGTATCCTTTCTCTGGTAGATGGCGTTTGTCTTGTAGTGGATGCAGGCAAGTACATTTTTGTGCCCTGTTGTTATGCCTTGAAGCTTATTGTACCTTGGTTGTCTCACATCAGCTGGGTGCATCGAAAACAGCTGAAGGTGCAATGGCACAAACCAAGTACGTGCTTTCTAGGGCTCTCTCGCTAGGAAAGAATCCGATCGTTGTGATAAGTGAGTGGGCGACGTAATGTTGTAACCGTCTGCAGACAATGTTCTGCAGCAGAATCAGTTGACAACCTAACACCTTTCGGTACGATTTCCAGACAAGGCGGATCGTCTCGATGGATTGAGTAAGATTGAAAGTGGGGAGACAGAATCCCAGCTCCTTGACCTTTTCGACTCGTTGGGGGCTTCCGAACAACAATTGAACAGCTTGACGCACACACTTTATGCAAGTGCTCGAAATGGCTGGATTACAGATGATCAAGAAGTAGCGTCTTCAATTGCAAAGAAAGGAAATACAGGCACTGGGAATGACATGACTTTGCTCTTGGACCGAATCATAGAACTGATCCCAGAACCAAAAGTCACATCAAGGGTAAACGAACCATGCAACGATAGTCCAATTACACTTCCGGGAGAGTCATTTGAGAAAGATCCATTCTCTTTGGCAGCTGTCACTGTTGGTTACGATTCATACCTTGGCAGAATGTGCACTGGACGAATTACTTCTGGTTCCATTCAAATTGGGGATGAATGCATTGTTCTCAAGGCAAAGAACAAAGCGGCAGGAGACGGAATTGAATCTAAAGAAACGAGTGACACATCCTCCATCTCTGGATTATTTGTTAATAGAGGGATATTGAGAACCAACTTGGTTCCAGCCATTGGCTACGCTGGAGATGTCATTACGCTTGCTGGTGTACCAAACTCGATTGCTGTCGGCGATACAATTACGAAAGCTGACAACCCTGTTGAGGAACCGCTAGAGACTCTTCCTCTGGCGCCACCCATTCTTGCAATGGAGTTTGGCGCCAACGATGGACCTTTGAGCGGTAGCGAGGGGTCCGAAGTAACGCCAACTAAAGTTCGAAATCGCTTGATGGTAGAAATAGACAACAACGTTACTTTGACGGTTGAGAAAGCACAAGGTAGTGACAAGACAGTAGTTCTTGCAAGGGGGGAGCTGCAGCTTGGGATTCTGATAGAGCAAATGAGGCGAGAGGGTTTTGAGCTAATTATTTCTCCTCCAAAGATAATGACAAAGTTATCAGACGACGGAAAGACAATCCTTGAACCATTCGAAGAAGTAACAGTTGATGTGGACTCAGAATATGCAGGCTACATCGTCTCAGCCTTGACAGCCGACCGCAAGGGCACTCTGTTGAGTATTGAGGATTCTGATTTTGGTAAGAGCCGCCTTCAATTCGAAATTCCTGCCAGAGGTTTGCTAGGATTCCACTCCGAGGCCGCAACAGCAACTCGGGGTAGCGCTGTCATCAATCACTGCTACCTTGACGATCGCCCAATCACGCAGCTTGGAAATGGCTTAGAGAAAGGTAAGCTGATCAGCAGCGAGAACGGCAAAGCGTCCCACTACGCTTTAGCGTCGTTAGAAGCGCGAGGTACCTTGTTCGTTGAACCCGGGGACCTGGTATATCCTGGGATGATTATCGGAGAAAATGCTAAACAAGGAGATTTAGAGGTAAATCCAGTACGCTCTAAACAGGCAACAAACATGCGAACGCAAGCAAAAGACGAGCGTGTTTATTTGCAACCACCTAGGAAAATGTCTCTTGAGGAGCTCTTGGGATACATGGGACCAGATGAAATGTTGGAAGTCACCCCCTCGAGCATACGGCTCCGAAAAACCGAGCTAGATCCTGTTGAGCGACGAAAAGCATCTCGTGTCAAGAAGCAAAAGAAGGATGCATTGAAGCAAAAGAACAGATAAAACTCATAGACTTGAAATCATTCTACAGTTCAGTATTTCGGGACGAAGATAGGTACATCTCAATTGCCATTCCTCTTTAACAAAGGACGGCTCGATTTGAGACACGGAGTTCACTTGATACGCATAAGTAAAGACAACAGCAGTCTAGTAATAATAAGAATTGGCCATGCAATAGACAAATGGCATGTTTGTACTTGAGTGGACCAAAAAAAATGCCTCTTGAAACCATCGAGAAAAAGCAGTGCAAAGAAACAAATGACATAAAAACAGGACACCATTATCAAAAAAATTAATACTGTTTAGTAGTCACCACCGCCACCCTCTTCACCTCCAAACATATCCATACCTCCACCAATTTCGGCTTCTTCTTCCTCCTCCTCTTCCTCTTCAGCAGGAGCATCTCCAGCAGCGGCGGTGCCACCACCGCCACCACCAGATCCGGCAAACTTGGATGGATCCTTCAAGTATTCCTCGTAAAGATCTGCCTTTTCAAAGGAATAGTTTTCCAACTCGATAGTAATGGAAAGAATTGCCTTGAAAGCATTTGCGATAGAGTGCGGGACAGACGCTTGAGTGGGCATTCCCAATGCAAGAGACAAAGCGGCAATAGACTTGAGGGCTTCAGAGAACTTGGCAGCCAAAACCTCGTCTGTGATGTCCAGGACCTTGGCGTCGAAAAGAGATCCATTGTCGTACACGGACTTGAGAACAACACCATACGTGAAAGGCATGATCGACAATTTTTGCAAAAGAGCGGCTTGCGAAGCAGTAACCCTCTCTCCTTCTTGGATCAACTCAGTATCGTTAACCATCTCAATTTGACCACGGGAAATCTTGGTAGCGATTTGAAGAGTTTGGAAAAAAGCAGTTTGACCTGGATCACATCCAGTACCACCCTTGGGGACAACAACCTTCGAGGGAGCGACAGATCCAACCTTGGCGGGGGCAGGGCGCGTGTTGGATTCCAAGGTTTCGCGAATATCACCCAGGTCACCGTTTGTGAAAACAAAGCCGACATTTCCACGGCACTCTTCGATGAGCTTCTCGACAGGACTTCCTGGGTTCTCATCAACGAAGTCCCTCAAGCACTTTCTCATCATAGTGTTCTTTCCCATCAAAACCTCGGCCTTTCCACGGAGATCTTTTCTGGTAGATTGAAGTTGCTTAGAGCCGACATTATCGACTTGAACGATAAAACACTTCGAATAGGTTGTGACAAGCTCCTTTAGTTTGTCAAAGTATTCACTCTTACGTTCAGCGGAAAGGGGCATGGTGTGTTTTCAATTTCTTGTACTTGTAATTCTACGGACGCTGAATGTCCAGGGAAATGGCAATTCAACTGTTTAACCGAGGGTGTATTCTGATGCCAAAGAGCGTGAGAAAAGCATACGCAAAGTCATAAAGCAGGTTCCATTGACAAATCCACTTACCCCAAACGAGATTTGCGATGATGTACATTTGGGTTGTTTTCGCTTTCAAGTAAGAGGTATCTACAACCTCCGGGTATCTCACTGGACTAGTTTAGTTGTTTACACTTTATCCAGCTCTCCTGGACTCTGGGTCTGCTCATCATCCGTCACTCTGGGGGATATTTTACATTTTTCGTTCCCCCATAATCTAGTGGTCAAAGTTCAGGGGAACCCTGGTTTTACTTTGTGGTCGAATCGAAACTACCAGGACCGTGTGGCAAATCCGGGCATTTAGCGAAACCGAAACCGCCAAACCCGACTATAGGTTGTGAAACGCGCGCTAATTACTGATGACGCGGTAAAACTGAAAACTGTTTTCACACGGGGATATCCTGGAAATCCCGGGGAAAAAAAGGGAACTTTTAGGGAACTTTTAGGGAACTTTTAGGAACCTTGAGAGATTTTTTTACGGAACTTTTGGGAGATTAATTGAGACTCCCCAAATGCTATCCCTGCTTTCCCATCTTGCAAAGAAACTGTTACTTTTCAAATTGTGAATTATTATTATGCCATTGGCATCGGTTTTGGACAATCCAATGCTATCAACAAGGTCAACAATGAATACTGGAGCGATTGATAATGCTGGACAATAGTAGTTGAAGGATTGGAGAACCAGCGATGCGAAAAAAGAGCCTATCAAGGACAGTGCTGGAGAGACACATCACCGAAAACATGGACCCAAACCATGTCTACTAGCAGATGGGCAATGGCGTACATTCGGCCAAAAAGTCTTGTTTAGAACAAGGTCTTTGTCTTCGCTCACTGGATGGTCACATCTATTATTCAAGAAACCGACAGCCCCAAAGTTCTCGAGTTCAAGATTTGGGCTAGAACTCGGCGGCAGGAGAACTTCAACGAGATTGAAACGTTTTGACACTATTGGAACTCGTTTTCGTTATACTATGGACAAGCATGAAGTCGTTTACACTGACTTTCTCGTTTTGATTCAATACGATATTGAGAATGGCCGTCCTTTGAATAGCGTCATCTACTATAGTGCAATTCTCTTTTATTTGTATAGTTTGTCTTTTGAGGGAATATTGTTTCGCAAAAGTTCCCTGAAAGTTCCCTGAAAGTTCCCGAAAAGTTCCCGAAAAATTCCCGAAAAGTTCCCGAAAAAGTCCCGAAAAGTCCCTGAAAGTTCCCTATAAGTACCCGGGAAGTTCCCTATAAGTACCCAGGAAGTTCCCTAAAAGTACCCGGGAAGTTCCCTAAAAGTTCCCTTTTTTTTTCGGGTGTCCGTCCGGACAAACGGGTCATGTTATAACGTTCGTCTTTTCCGCGCGGAAACACGAAATTTTGATGATCGGAGAATCTCGAAATACACGTTTTTGCCACACGGTCCAGGTACCAGGTACGGTATACAAAAGGAGTCGAAAGAAATCCGAAAGTAGGCAAGGAAATTTGAAACTATACAAGATCGATCTGAAAGTAGGCAAAATAATTATTGAAATTTGAAACTATACAAGGTCGATCTGAAAGTAGGCAAAATAAACAAGCACATTATATTTACCAAAAGACACCGGCATGGTCAGTCTGACCTCCACCTCCAACACAACGACTACACCCGGCTTGCTCGCAGAAAAACTGCTCGCAGAAACAGGGATGCACCACAACGCAAAACGCGGGCCTAAAATGTGTCCGTTAACATTTTTTTAGGAATGTCTGTCTGTAGTATCGTCCTCAAACGGGCACGCCCCGTGCGTGAGTTTCACGCGTCAACGGGCACGCCCCGCGGGTGAGTTTCACGCGAAGTCGCGTAAGTTTCATGCGACAACGGGCACGCCCCGCATGAGTTTCACGCGACAACGGGCACGCCCCGCGTGAGACGTCGCGTGAGTTTCACGCGAAGTCGCGTGAGTTTCACGCGGAAACGGCCACGCCCCGTGTAATTTTCACGCGACAACAGGCAATCCCCGCAAGAGACATCGCGAAGTGGAGTGACTTTGACGCGTCAACGGGCACGCCCCGCGTGAGTTTCACGCGACGTTGCATATGGTTTTGAACTTGTCAAACAATCCTTGGTTAAACCAAGAGTATGTTAAGCCCCAGTAATCCCCAAGTCAATGACATTTACTAAAATAATGCTCTATCCAGGTTCTGATATCGGCTAATTCAATATGTTCTGTGCGTCTAAGAATTCTGCATCCATACTCAGAAGTACTCAGCTTCATAGTTAGGAATATCCCAAAATTTCACCGTTACAAGTTCCAAACCAATTTGGACCTATACCAGGACAGCTCCTACTACAAGCGGCCATATGCTTATTGGAGTCATGGATCCAGATACCTCACAATGACTGGAACTTTTTCATCTTGCAAAAGACGCATGCTTGCCTTGCACGAACAACAATTTTGGCTGCAATTTTGCGACTTGAGAATTCTTCAAACAGCACTCACCTGAACACCCAGCATCGGCTTTGACACATTCAGTTTGGACTTCAGCTCTTCTCGAAAAATAGCTATATCTGACTTGCCACCCTTGTGCCAACCGCTCCAATGGACAATGTAGCCATTGTGAATCGAGCTAGCAACATCATACTTGAGGCCTACCTTGTGGCGTTTGATATCCCACATTTTACTGTCAAATGGCCACTTATCATAGCACCCAAAGGTAGTAGCATCATGCACGATTGAAGCCATTGTGATCAACTTGTTCCAAAGTAAAAAAACCAAAATATCTGTTGACAAATTTCATCAAGAGCTTCAAACTCATTGATAAGGTCGTTGCGTATTGCTTGGATGACGACATCATCCCCAGTATGTGCCCCAGCTCCGTCAACTCACGCAATTGGCTTCAAACTCACGCGACCCGCGTTAAATTCACGCGTCAAACTCACGTCCCCGCGTCAAACTCACACGTCAAATTCACGTCCCCGTGTCAAACTCACGCGTCAAATTAACGTACCCGCGTCAAACTCACGCGTCAAACTCACGTACCCGCGTCAAACTCACGCGTCAAATTCACGTCCCCGCGTCAAACTCACGCGTCAAACTCACGTCCCCGCGTCAAACTCACACGTCAAACTCACACATCCCCGCGTTAAAAAGCCACGTGTCCCCGTGTAAATTAGACGCCCTGCGTAAGATTCACGTGGCATTTTACGCGAACAAAACATCATTCTGAGGTAATGTTAACGGACACATTTTGGGCGTGCGTTTCGCGTTGTGGTGCGTCCCAGGCAAGACAAAATACACACATCACACATCAGGACATAAAAAACATCACCACCAGAACGCACTGTTGCTGTCCTTTTGTTCTTGTTGTTCCAACCCAACCCGTGAACAAACTGAATCTTCCTTCTCCTTTCATCAGTACTAGCTAGTGGCACTTCCAATTCCTCAGAGACGGGTTCCTTCATCCGCTTCTGCATACTGAGCTTTTTACATATCTGTTCCTCAACTTTCATTGCGCAGAGTGACAAACAGTATGTAGCATAAAAGCTTCATTGTGTCGTGCCAAGTCCTCGCTTTAACAGGTTGGAGATTTGGTGCATTGAAGTAATGAAGATGACTGGACCGTCTACAGGTATGGATGCTACTACTGCTGCTGCTACCGCCATGAGGAAAGGAAGGACAAGACAAGCAATGCGACCAGGACAGCAATTGTCGTCATCTCCTGATACACCGAGTTGCCTCTGCGAGCACTATCATGGATTGCCACTATGATTGTTGTCGTTGTCTTCATTGTTATTGTGGATCTCGGTGAATAGGTTATCCTCCATTCAACCTTTGTTTTGTGTGCATATGCTGACACCAACAATGTTTTGCCTTAAATCGTCGTCACCTGGATCTGCTACAACTATTGATACAGCAGTGTATGTAGTGTCTGCTTTATTTGGCGCAAAACAATACTTGGCTCTGCATCATCGCCACCACAGAGATGATTCAGAGATGATTCAATAGTCTTGTTCAAATGGCTGGTTGGCTTCCTTCAGCCACCTTTGCCCCTTGTCCGCAGCACCTGCTTTTCAATTTGCAACACGTAATCATTCTACAAGGCGGCAACTGCTTTGTTGCTTTTCAGGTTTTGCTCTCTTGTCTAGTTCAATATTATTCATATTCCCCACACTGATTTGTGTGGACACATTGCAAAGACGGAGGGACCAGTGTACCGGTACCAGCACCAAAATCATATTAGATATAGTATATGTACAGTCAAATCGTATCTAGTAGAGCCAACAGCTCTTTTACTTTGTCTTCAGGTGTTTTTAAAAAGCTTCGATTCCGCTACCGACTTTTGAGTACAAATAGTAACTATCGTATCATACAGTATAAAATACAAGCAGTATTTGAACTTGTGAAAATTCGTGAATTATTTGATGGGTCTGTCCTTCCACTCCGATTTGGTTCACCAGATGTGGGAGGTGGAGGTCAGACTGACCGTGCCGGTGTCTTTTGGTAAATATAATGATGTGCTTGGTATACAATGTCGATCTGAAAGTAGGCAAAAATATAAATATCCAAATCTGAAACTACAGGAAACAAATTTCGATCTGAAACTACAGTAGGCAAATTGCTGCGACGAGGAGAGCTAGCCAAAGGCGCAAAGGAACTTAGTTGAAGGTGTGAAGAAAGGTGCTATTAAAGTTGATGACGACAATAAGCTTTTTTGGTTCACAGCCACGACAGCTCTGCAATCATTTCCTTGCATCCAGAATATTCAGAGTATCTGCTAGATAAATTTGAAGATGACTGTTGGGAATCTAAAAGAAATTGGTAGAAGAGTGCAACAGACCTGGGATTCCTGGATCAGTACATGGAACATAATCCAGTTTCGAATTTCAATAAGGCCTTCGGCAAGCAACTCCTACCAGGAGCACAAGAGCTGCAGATATGTTTTGGAATAGATAGATTGTAGATTCTAATTAAGTAGGAGTCGTACATAGGTACACGTGGGCGCCTTAATTAGAATTCGGTGGGGCTACCTAGCTATTCGTAGAGTGGAATCTCCCCTAGGATGCAACATTGTGCCAGAACGCAACAAGCTTCAAACACATCTCTGAACTCGTGGTGACGGAAAAGGGGTATCCAAAATGTTGTTTTGCTTCAAAAAAATTGTTGCAGTTGTCCTTATATGTCTCTTGAGAGCTTGGCTCTTGAAAAGCTTGACTCCAGCATTATCGTGCGATTTGTAGGTGCTGACGTCATTTTTAGGTTCACCATGATTGTAGCCTTCATTGCCAATGGCGGATTGTTTTCATCGTTGAAGTTCCGCAACAGCCTTTCTCCCCACAGCAGAGTAATATTATTAGTCCGCGCCGGAAAGGGACCACGCATCCACAACAGCCGATTGTCCAATAGTAGCGAAATTTCCAATTGATTGTCAAGACCGGCTTTGCTGTATTTGTGGGAGTAGTAGCGGGTATATTTGACTCCACTCCAAATGAGAGGGATCATTGATCCAGCAGTGTATCCCATCCACCGGCACCACCCATCTCTTACCCTTTTGAAATTTTGTTTCCATACAATTGCCTTGTAATTCAACATCCGGATCTTTGCGATCGTAGCAGATATTTTTGTCCTTGTTCAACCTGCTGAGAAATTGAACGCCAATGATAGGTCCTCTTCTGTAGGGTACTTTCGAAGGTAGTAAAGACCCATTAAAAATGCTTGAGATCGTTTGCAGGTGAGTGTAGACCCAAAATGCAGTGCATGGAGAGACTCCAACAAAGTGATGCATGAAGCAGAAGACATTCGTCTTCCCCTTGGCACGTTTGATTCGCCGAGCTCACGGTGGCAATATTCATTATCTCCGATGGAGTGAGAATGTGGTTGATTGGCGGCTCTTCATCCTCCATGGTATATTGTTTGACAGTATACCTACCTATTATCCCAACAAATAAATAAATCCAAAACTATACAACTTCAATTTGAAAGTAGGCTAACTCGGATCGTTGAATCAAAACTAGCTAGACAAACTCGATCCGAAAATAGGCAAACTTGAATCGTTGAATTCGAAAATAGACAAACTCGATTCGAAAATATACAAGTCGACATCGTGGTTCAAACTTATCTGACTAAAAGCAGCATGGTTCCTGGCCTCTACAGCCGTATTACACCGGCAGTTGGATACTCTAGAAGTAGCATAAAAACCAATTAATGATTCAGTTATATGTATATATACTGGAAGCTGGTAAAGGAAAGTTACTCAATGCTGAGTACCGTCAAATCTTTCATACTACTGTTGCAAGGGGACTTTATGTCTCTAAGAGAGCTTGTTTGGATATCCATCCAACGATTACTATTCTTGCCTTGAGAGTTTGAGAACCTACAGAGTCTGATTGGAAGAAGTTGTGTGTTCGCATGATGCGATATTTGTTTTGTACATTGTTGTATCACCTGACACTTTCCGCAGAATCACTACCAGTCATGAATTGGATGATAGACGCATCATTTGCGGTGCATCCAGATTTCAAGAGCCATACTGGCGGCACTCTGTCCTTTGGAGGAGGTGCAGCTCAAGTGATGTCAAAGAAACAAAAACTAAACAGCAGAAGCAGTACAGAAGCGGAACTGATTGCTGTTGACAATGTTGTCACGATGATACTATGGACAAAGTTGTTCATGGAGTGGCAAGGGTATCCGATTGAGAAGAATATCTTGTATCAGGATAACAAAAGCGCAATTCTACTGGAAGAGAATGGTCGCAAGAGCGCGGGCAAAAGAAGCCGAGCTATCAATATTCGTTATTTCTTTATCACAGATCAAGTTGAGA